AAAAAAAATGAAAGTTGGGTAGTACTTCGTCCATCTCAAAATGATTTGCACGATCAATTTTGCTTGATCCACGTATTTTCACTTTATCCACTGATTTAGCACATCAATTCTTATTACGGAGTATATTATAATTTCAATTTTGTGATAAAAATTTCAAGACAAAATTCACAAAAATAATCTCTACTTTTAGGATATCTATAACGAGAGTATTCATAAAATAATCTGAACTAGTAGTAGTGTCTACAAGAATAAATTGAGGTAAATTAAAATTATTTTCCATTTAATTCTCCCACATCTTACCTCTATTTTCCCCTTTACCACCCTTCTTTTCGGGTAAAACTTCTATCTTCTATCCTAGAAAGAGCTATATATGACGGAAATGACATTAAGATTAAACAGGTTTTAGTTTTAATTCACTTCGATAAGAAGAGCGGTGAAGAGATGAGAGTAGGGATTGATAATATTAAACGGGTATTAATTTGAATTCACTCCAATTTATTCTTGTGGACACATACTATTGCTAGTTTGGATTATTTTTATTGACACTCTCAGTACGAATTATTATTGTTGGATCCCTAAAAGTAGGTATTATTGTTATGAATTTCGCTAAATTTTAATGTAGTTTTTCGAAAATGAAAATACCGGAGTATTAATTATTAAGAGCTATCGTTTAGAATAAAATAAAATGTACAAAAAATAAGGCAATGAAGAAAAGTTGGATTGACACTATTAAGCTATTCTAATCGAGGCCATGCATTTTCTTGTTTTCAAAAAAGATCGAGGTCATTTTCTCCTGATTATATTCTTAGATAACTGCATAGATTATACTCATTATTTCGTGTATTGAATATAAACCTCAAATTGAAAGTCACTACTACGAAATCCGTATGACTGAATTGATCTCTATTTTAAGCTCTTCAACTAGATTACACGGAGTAAGTTTTTTGAAAACAACTCTTTATCAGGGGCGGACTTACGTTGAAAGGAGGGGGGGCAGGTGCCCCCAATAAAGATCCACTAATCTCACAGAATACATTATGATAAATATGTATGAATAAGAAAATCAAATGTTTGCCCCCAACAAAATAATGGGCTTGCCCCCAATAATCCACGACGTGTGCATTTGGAGCACCCATATACGAAGTATATTCAAGGAAAGAGTCGGAGTGTGTGCAAATAAACGTTCTTGACTCTTTAATGTGCTCATTTTCTTTGTACTCTCGGGGTCTGAGTAAAGAAGCAATTGAGCCATATCATTGAGAATTTGAGAGGCTGAAAATCCAAAGTTTTAAGTTTTTTTAAGGAAAAATTCGATAGTTAAGATAGTCTACAAAATCAGGATAACAATGTTATTAAAGTAGTAAGCAAATTATAAAAAACATAAGTGGCATGCTATTATAGATATTTAACGGAAAATAAAAAAAAATATTGAAAAGCATAATATTTCAAAGATTAAAACAACATATTAGTTTCATTTTTAATTCTTGAATTGGTCCATCACCACTGTAATATTTAACATGATGTTCTATTTAAGTAGTGAAGATCTTATATCTTATACGTAGTATACAAAAAAAACAATGAAGAATAACTTTCAAAAGATGAAAACTATCTTAATTAGAGAAGTTGTGAATTAGAGAAGTTGTGAATTTGTTTTTTAAGGGCTTTTCCCCTCATGTATTTTACTTTAGGGAAAGTTCATGAAATAATTGTAAACAGATCTTGTAATCTAAAATAGAACTGTTTTTCTTTCCGAAATAAGAGCAACATGACAGTGTTTACTACCATCTTGTAGTAATTATTGTCAAATAATTGCATTACTAGATATTAACATGACAATATTTAGTTAATTATAAGTATTTTTCAATCATGGATGGCAATAATAATGATTCAAATTTTTTGAAAAAAAATTATCCATTTTATTTTGAAATTCCAAAACATGTTTACTCCTGTCTAGGGAAATTTTCTTTCACTTTTTTTTGTTTGATGTATTTTAGTATTGAATTTGCCCCCAACAAGTTTAATTCCTAGATCCGCCACTGCTCTTTATATATACATTTTCTACTCACCTCCTTCACTGATCTACACATGTGAACTGTGAACAAACTACTTTTAATATGTAAATAACTTGTTGACAGACAAAACATGTATCGAATATGTGTTTTCTATGAATAATGTATTCATTTACAAAAAATAAACAATCTGTTTACGAGCGGAAATACTAGTCCGTGGTACAAAAAATTATGCAGAAAAAAATATGTAAATTTTATTTCACTTACTTTTCAAAAAATATGTACAACCGCATGAATTACTAACTCAAATACTTTTCAAAATTGGAAGTGACTACATGAATTGTCCGAAAAGTATACCCAAAAAGAACGTACATGGATCATGGATGGGTTCCGCATGATTAATGAACAGTCTTATAACATGTGGGTTCACCTACTTCTCAAAATGGTGTGATAACTTCGACTGAACAGGCTTAAATATAGACCGTAGTATTGTCTTTTCGTTCAAGTAGTTATTACTCCCTCCGCATCAAATTAATTGACCCGTTTGCTTTTCACGCAGTTTAAGACAATTACTGTAGACTTTATTAAAAGTAAGAGGTTTTTGGTACTGTAGCGACACTGTAGCGGTACTGTAGCAGTACTGTAGCTGCTTTTTGAGTGGGATTCTTTCCAAAAAGGGAAAGGGGTCAATTAAATTGATACACCAAAAAAGGAAAGTGGGTCAAGTAATTTGATACGGAGGGAGTATTAACTGGCTAAGGCTTACATAAAAAAAAACTGGATAAGGCTCCACATTTCATTATTTTTGCAAAAAATTAAAGTTCCATTGTGAGTCTAAATAATATCGCGATTTTAAATTATCATATTAGCATCCAGGCAAACACTTAAGAGTCAAATGATTAATGAGGGATTAGTCAGTCAAATATATTGGGACTTACATTATATTGTCACATAGAGATTAATTATAAATGTTTAGAATAGTCAATAGAAAGTCAATACGCACCTGAACAATAATTTGCAGAATATTTGGCAGTGTTAATCGTGGATGGGGTAGGTTTCAGGAAATATTATATGACTTTTTGAGAGTAACTTTTCAGGTGGCGGTTAAGGGTGTTTTTTTAGATTGAAATTTGTTTGTCTAGTCTGGTTTGGTCTCATCTGATCTAAATTGGTTTGTTCTGATCTGGTATATGTCTGGTCTCTGTGTATTTTATAACTACGGAAGTATGACTTGATCTGGTTTAGTATGTGAGTGAAAACAGTCCAAAAGAAAACATTCTAACTCCCCTCTCTATGGTTGTTTTTTATTAAAAAGTTTTAAGAAAGCTTAGTAATATTTGGAGTTATCACAACTTAATTTAATTGTTCAATTTCAAACTGGATCTGCTCATCATTTCTACCCACATTTTTACTCAATCGGTCAATCCCACACATCGGAAGTTGTTCAATCTCGGTCGTTTCTATTCGCATTTTGGGTGTTTAGCAATCGGTTATTTGTTGTTAGTGAATATCCGATTATATTGATTGTTTGATATAAGCGGTTTTTGTTAGCTATTTTAACTTGCCGCTATTATCAGCGAATGGAAATGAAGTGCTTAGTAATCTAATTGTTCACAACTATTAAAACTCAAAATGACTATTAGTGATACGAATACAAAATATATATCAATTCAATCGTTATAGGAGGAGTAGCTCGTGTTTTAATGTAGCACTTAATTACTTCCAAATTTTCTGGTGTGGGACTTTAACACTCCTCCTCACGATCACGCACGACGCGTCTGAATCGTGTCATCGTCATTCATTTTTTCATCAGTTCGTCATTATCGTTTTTTATAATCATTGTCATTTTTCATAGGGGGCCACACCATGGTTAAGATCCGAGGTTCCATCCTAAAAGGTCAACCTGATAAGAGGAATAATCCAGATCTTACTATGTGAAGATTTGAGTTATTTAACTTACCTTCTTATTTTCTGGTAAGTACATTAACAATTATTCTATATAATCACTATTATAATTATTTGAATATATATAGATGCAACCCTAAGTAGACATCAAAAGTTCTCTTTGTGTTTGTGCGGCCTTCCCCCCACATGGGGTTTAGTTTTCCGCCGGCCGTTCTAGACTTGTGCGGTCAGAGAATTTCAGCCTTGCGCATGCTTTATTTTTGTCGCAAGTTCGTATTCAACTACTCAACACGGCTATAAAATCATGGAGTCCATTGTTAATCAGTAGCAGAGAAAGGAGAGGAAGAAGAAGCATGATTTCCACTCCATCCCCCTCTCGAACCGCCGCCGTTGAGAAGTCTTGTGGTTAGAGCTAAGAAGATGTTGTTTCTAATTTGGATTTGTTTTAATTATCCTGTTCTTATTTTTATTTTTTTCTTTACGAAATGAATGTTGTTGTGGTTTGTTTTCTTTATTTCTACTAGCAAAACTCCTGAGTTTAAGTTGGATGATGAAATGTCTATTGCGTCCGTTAATGACCCAGTTAACCCCATTAATGGATCAACAAGTCATTTTGCTTTTTTTGAAGTGATACACTCTGAGTCTAGTTCGAAACAGTCGATTGGTGCGGTTCCCGGTGAAACTTTTTGATGAATTTTTTTTGTTCATGTTCATCATTAAGTCTAGTTTAACAGTAAAAAAAATCCAACTAAAAATTAAATCGGGAAGACAGTCAAATAAATTTTTGAAGATAACGGCGCCAAAATATACATATAAAACGCAGTTATTTTTCAAAATTCATTTGAGTCTATTCCCGATTCAATTTTTAACTAAAATTTTTTCTTTATAAACTAAATCTGATGAAGAACATTCTCAAAAAAATTAATCAAATAATTTCATCGGGAACCACATGCCCCTCCAACTAGAGATATCTTTTTCCAACTAGAGATAAACCACCCAAATGATGATTTTTTTTTTTTAGAGATATCTTTTTCTTATATTCATACTAAGTATTCAGTATTCACATAGTTATATTTTGTGAATAAGGGTCCCGCGTTTTAACTTTTACTGCGGAAAAAAGTACGAAGAAGCGAAGATGAATAATGGCTGCCAGAAGCATGGAGGTATAGAAGATCCACACTGCTTGCAAATTTTACGGCAGATCAGTGTATATATTTTTCATTTTGCAGCACCGTAAGTTTGTTCATGATCCAGAAAGATGGGTGCGGATTTGAAGCACATGAGTGAGCTGGATTTTAGGAGTGCATTGGGGTCCGCGGTCTAACAGCCGGTGCTCTTTTTTACTCCTCTTTGACAGTTGTTTATACAACTCCCAATAACGAAACACCATATCCATAGGCTCTGCTCTGGCAGTGAGAGAGAGAGAGAGAAAAGGGAGAGGCTGAGCAAAATTGAAAGGATCGAAAATGGGAAGATCGGCAGCAACTTGCTTCAAGATGCTCACTTGTGCTAGAACTGATTCTACTGAAAGTGATGGATTTGAAGCTCCTGAGGTATAATCACCTACTACAGTTGCTTACATGTTTAGCTTCAGATCTGGTATTTAGCTGCTTGATCGATTCTTTAGTTGCAGCTTAGATGTGTTCGAAATCGCTGCTAAGATCTGTCTTCCGCATTATCAAAATGTGCAATGTGATGACTGCTGATAGCTGTTTCCTATTTATGTAAAATAAAAATTGACTAGTTTAAAGTAATTATGAGGTTGTAATAAATTGATCTTTTAATTGATTTTTATGACTTCTCAAGGCTAGTGGATCCGTAAGTGTTTTTCACTTTTCAGGCAGGGAAACTGTTTCCAAAAATTGAGTTATCTTGACCTGAACATTTACTTTTGTTGTGATTACGCATATAAATACCTTTTTTGCTCTATCATTATGAGCTGACCATTCAGATAGGTTGTAATTAAGTTGTCAAAATGGCATTCCAGTTCATGTCTGCTATACTTATAGAAAGTTTTTCGTGTACATCTCTACCCCTCCTATTCTCCTTGCTTTTGTTTTTATTTAAAAATGGGATTGGCGTTTGTATAAATAGTAGAGATTTAAGTCTCTTGTTAGATATAGCTCAAGATGTTAAATTATTACCATTGCATGTTATTCTCGGAACCAACACCATTCAACCACATTTCTCAATGGTATTCACCTTAAGGTGTCATGGGGAGAAGGTGGTGCTGGATCTTTAGTGGATTTGAGAGTTAGGGGTTTTGAATTGGGAATTGGGACTAAACAGCATTTTCAAGGATGTAAACATACCTTAGGCTGAGTTTGGATCCTGAAAATGGTAGAGAAAGGCAAGAGATGGTTGCGAAAGTGACTTCTGGTGTGTGGTTTCGCCTTAGAGAACTGAGGAGAATAGAATTTAATTGCATGCATTTGTTTTCTTAATCTAGCTGTCTAGGTATGATACAAACACATTAATAACAACAGCCCCAACAAATATCTAGATCTGATTTATTCAGTTGGGACTAATATTGGACCCCCCTCCCCCCAAAAAAACTTTCCTTCTAAAGTTCCTCTATTTTGCTTCTTATTTTCTTTCCCTAGTATTTTCCAGGTTCAAAATGGACAGTCAAGGAATTTCTAGCTGAAATCTCCTGTAAAAAATATCCTTGTATTCTTGGAGCAACAGGCAAATCATTGGAAAGAAAAATTACTAAGATCCCCTTATAGTGGAAAATGTTTATAGTTTACAAGGAAATGACATTCAGAATTATTATCTGCTCATTGTGTAATTTCATTATTTTTATTTGCAGTCCAAGAGTTCAAGTGATCGGAAGGGATGGAGTTTCGTGAAGAGATCTGAAAAGCATCGTGTTTTGAGCAACACATTGACGATCTCAGAAACATTGTCTGGAATCAAAGACAGCCCAGCAGCAGCTGTCATCAACTCCCAAATACAACTTGACTCTTCTAGTCCAACCAAGTCCTCCACAGAACAACTTAACCCCGATTTACCTGACTCTTCTATTCCAACCAAGTCCTCCACAGAACAACTTAACCTTGATTTTCCAGAAAAGAATTCAACTGAACCACCATCCGGTGTTGCAGACAAGATCAATGCCAAAGAACCTGTTGAGTGTACAGATGACAAACCCCAGTCTCCACCATCAATGGAAGACAAATCATTGGAGAATGTTGCTAGTGAAGTTAATGATCGTAAAATTGAGCCAACCAGGAAGGAATCAGATATTATTGTGATCCAGACTTCTATCAGAGGGTTTCTGGTATTTTTTTCGTTCTGTTTCCTTAAAAAAGCAATATAGGGCATTGTTTGTGGAGAAAAGAATTAGCTATCAACACTTCAACGGCTCGGGAAGAAAGAGAAATGGGAGAAAGAGAGTGGACTGTATATGATTGTTTATTGTTTACTAGTAAAGGAATGAGAGAGAGAGAGAGGACAAAGAAGTGTATGTTATAAACAAATACAAAAAGAACTTGAAAGGACTCTTCCATCTATTTTTACCCATAAGGCTGGAGACCTACAATAATACAATTGTTCTCTCTCTCTCTCTCTCTCTCTCTCCATTTTCATTGCAAATCAAACAAGGGAAAATTGTGATTTCTCCCCTATTTTTCTCTATTGTCTTTCTCTTCAAACAATCGAATGCTAAAACAAATGATTGAATTTGATAGGCTAGCAGATGGACTTTTAATGAATCTCTCCATCCCATTTCGTTTGTACTTTCCATTTTAGGCTGTCTCGAGATCTTTCGTGCTTGTACATATTCAGTTCCAACCAAATAAATTCACTTTTTTCTTAATGTGTTCCAAACCCTGTGTGCCAAACTTAGTGTGATAGAGGTAGTATATAATAATTCTGTTTATACTTTTTTAGGCTCAAAACTTGTTGTTGAAGCATAAGAATGCAATCAAACTGCAAGCTGCTATACGTGGACTAGTAGTTCGGAGGCAAGCTGTGGGAACTCTACGGTGTATTCAAGCCATTGTTAAAATGCAAGCTCTTGTTAGAGCTCGCCGTGACCATGAATCTTCAAATGTGGTAATTAAGTCCATGTCATGATTAAAATCTAAAGGTGTACTTTGATTAATGAGATAATACTAATAATGCTTTTTAAACAATATCTCTGGACGTTATTCCACTCAAGAACATCCCTTCTTCATGTCAAACAGCAGAGAAGGAACATTTATTTCAGGAAATATGAAATAAATAGATAAATTGTTGAATCTCATATGATATTACGTCTTCGGCATTACAAGCTATCATTTTTGCTTGGTAATAATTTTTATTGATTATATTATCTGCTATGTTCAGGGAACCAAAATTTCCAGCAAGAAGTTAGGAAGCTCTTACCTTTCCATCGAAAAATTACTAAGCAATAGGTTTGCTCATCAGGTAAAATGCAACATGGAGTTATGTAGAATTACATTCATGCCCATTATCATTCTCGGTTCCCCTCTAATGCTGACTTTTTGTTCTGGAAAGCTTCTGGAGTCTTCATCTTCAAGGACAAAAACTATAAATATCAAGTGTGATCCTTTAAAATCAGACTCATCATGGGTGTGGTTAGAGAGATGGATGTTTGTCTCCACAGGGTTGTCCCCAAGTTCACAAACGATTGCAGAACAGGTGGAGAAGAAGAAAGATATTGATCACGTATTAGACTACAGCCTTCTGGAAGAAGCTGCCGTAACTCAATCTGAGGGTAGAACTGTTGAATCAAGTTTAGAGGCATCAGAAGAAAAAGACTCTTTCCCTATTAAGACTGAAACTGAGAATGTGGATGAGAACAAGGTATCTTTTGGATCTGAAGAGGAGAGGAGTAATCCTGTATTTATTTCTGCTCAGTCAAATTTTGAAGAACAAAGTTTGTTGGCCGACTCATCAGGAAACCCATCCAATTTGTCCGGTCAAGAGACTGAAACCAAGCATTTAACTGAGAGTTCAAATATTGTACAGGAAATGAAGCATTTAACAGAAAATGCAACCGGTTTACATGAAACAGACCATTTAACCGAGAATTTTACCGATTTACACACTTCTGTTCTTGTAGTTGCAGGATCTGAATGCAGCACCGAACTCTCCATTTCTTCCACACTTGACTCGCCAGATAGGTATGAGATAAAAATTCATGAGTATCATCATGAGAGGACTGAGGATGTGCATGTTGACCCTCATGATCAGACAATTTCCCACAATGGACTCTCAAATAATGGAACTGTGGACACCCCAGATTTCACGCCAATAAAAGACATAACTGTTGAGCATGCAGAGGTTGAATCTCCAAGAAGCCAAGTAACTTTTCTAGAATCCCAAGGTACAACTCCGAGCAAAGAGGCATCTTCAGTAAAACCAAAGGTGAGAAGTAGTGAAATAAATGGATCAAACAGCAACAAGCGTCATAACATTTCATCTTCAAACCCAAAGAAAGATGCTTCAGTGACTAAAACTAGTTTGCACCAATTATCACCCAATAAGGACAAGGATCATAAAGGCGTGAAAAGAAGAAAATCGTTTGGTTCTGCAAAAAGTGAACAAAATGTGGATCAGCAGGAACCTAGGGACAGCAATGCCAGCGGTTCTCTACCAAGTTACATGCAAGCAACAGAATCAGCAAAAGCAAAGGCCATTTTAAGCAGCTCTCCAAGATCAAGTCCAGATGCACATAACAAGGACACTTATAGCATTAAAAAGAGGCATTCTCTCCCTAATTCAAATGGGCGGCAGGGATCACCTCATATTCAGCGATCTTTGTCTCAAGCACAACAGAATACAAAAGGAAACCCAACTCATTCTCCTCAAGGTATTTTTAACCCTTTTTCCCTTTGATCTACTTGTATGCTGATTTAGGGGTCTTGTAACACACACCCTCCACTCTCTTTTAATCTTCTTACTTTACTTTCTTTATCCAGTCGGTCCTAGTCGTCATATTTCCCTTAGTAACTTTCTTTTTAGTAGGTCAACTCAAACTGAAAGGAAGATAAGAAAGTCATTAGTAAAACATAGGGCATGTTTACTAACAGAGATATTTTCCAGTTTTTTTTTGTTTTCTGTTCTCCAATTTTATGTTTTCATTTTCCAGTTTTTCTATCTCCAATTTTATGTTTTCATTTTTTAGTTTTCCATTTCCAAATCTGAAAAAATGTTCATCAATTTTTTTTTTCACCTGGTTCTGTGATCGACCATAAGATCGAAAGTAGGGTCCCAGTGTGGAATCGAACCTAGTACAACCCAAGTAAGGTACCAGGTCCCACGTATAGGAAAGTTGAGACCGAAATGATTTCAATTTGACTAATTCTTTTCCCTTTTCATTAATGATTAACAACTTAACGGCTCTTTTAAAACTCCACACTTTAAAAAATGATTTTAAAATACGGAGACCGGACAGCCACATCATTGATTGGCCCATACAAGGTCCGACGGGTTGCTGACAGGACCGGCCTAGGACTGTCCGGTTGTTCACTGGACCGAACAGAGATTGTCGGGTAGTTGGCCGGACAACACGGGGCTGATGGGTCATTGACCGGACAAGACGGGGACTGCCGGGTCGATGACCGGACCGGACGGGGACCGACGACTTATTGACCGGACCAGATCAGATCGGGAATGCCCGACCGTCGATAGGACCGAATAGGTACCACGTGGTCGTGGAGCGGATCGGACATGGACCGTCGGGTCGTTGGCCGGACCAGAAAGGGACCATCGGCTCGTGGACCAAGCCGAATATGGACCGTCGGATCGTCGACCGGACTGGATCGGGATTGCTCGATCGTCGACCAGACCGGATAGGGACCACATGGTTATTTACCAGACTGGACCAGTTAAGGACCGCCGGGCCGTTGACCAGACCGGACTGGAACTAATACCGGAACGAGACTGGATCCACCACTAGGCGTAAGTATGCAAACTCATTGCAACGGCATTGCAGTATCCACGTTTTTTAAATTTGGAAAATTAGTAAAACCCACTTCTCCAATTCATTAAGGAAAACTCACTTCACCTTAAGGTATTTTTGGCTGGTATATATTTTGGTAAATAGAATGTCTCAAAAACAAATAAAGGAGATTGAAATATTGTATTATCACATATTGTTATGTTTGGCTTTCAGTGTTTAATAATTCTCAAATGTATATCATACACTTAGCCCTTCAAAGTTTACCCTTTCTGCTGTCCAATTCCCTAACTGACCTGTAAATGCATACAGCTTGTCTCTTCATATCTGAAATCTATTTTTTCATTGCAGAGAGAAGGTGGCAGAGGTGAGGTCTTTAAACAAGCAAGTTGCAGGATGATGCATTTGTTATATCTATGTTATATACTGGATGTATAAACATCTGACCAGAGACCATCATCTCCTCATGGGAGACTGATGTAGAAAGACCTGAGTTTTTCATGTAAATTAACACATTGCGCTGTTTGTAATGATTTTGTTTTGTGATTTTTTTGGTAATATGACAGAATGTTTGATTCAATGATATATTTTCTGTAATATTGTTTCAGTGCTGAGGAGTTTGGGGATACTTATTGTGTTAATCATACAGAAATATAAAAAACTCTTTATTTTCTGGATTGCAATACAACTAGTTAATCAATATTGATAATGCCAGTATGTCAAAGCCCACTTTAACGAGTTTAAATTTTGCTCAAAACATAAGTAATTGGCCCTTTATAGGAGTAAAACAAACCACTTTTCCTAGGAGTCAATCTCTAATCTTCTCTAAATATGAGTAAACATTGATTTTCTAACCCTAATTCTCTCATTCTAAGTAATTAATTGCCCCTAGTTCTCTTGGACAACTAAGCCAGTTTGTTTGTGGTGGTCCAATCTGGTGGTGGTGGAGGAGGCGGCATGAGGGTACTTCACAAAAATTCCATGGACCCAAAAAATTCCAAATTTGCTTTGTAATTCAAATCGCATTATCAATTGATGACAACATTTATCTTCATGTAAAATTGATATACATCAAAGCATTAAACGAAACACACTTATAATATTATGGTCAAAATGAGAGTATTAAGCATTACTTAAAAGATCAAAACATCCAACAAATACGTTGAAACCATAACATTGTAAATATGCATTTAATGTAAACTTAAACATTGTTGAACACTTCTTTGAATACAACATTCTGAGTCTTGTACGTGGTTCCTTCATCTTCATCAACAATTAGAATTTTTCACACCACAACGATTTGTAACCCTTGATACTGCAACATAGAATTGTCCGTGAGTAAATATTGGTTTTTTCACCCGCCACACCGTCACCAATGTTGGCAATTCAATATGAAAAGACCTTCAAATTGTAAGAATATGATGAACTAGTCATGTTCTGCAGGTGCATATTTTTTGTCAAACGAAGAATTGTGCATTCCGACCACAGATATGATGAATTAATAGTCGCATTGACTATATCATGTCTACTCCCATGAGGTATCACCGGCAACACCTGCCGAAAACCAAAGGTTTATATAAATTAATTGAAGGTAAATTATTTATAATGACTAAGTAATAAGGTTACTATACATTTACACGAATTGTATTTTTAGACGAATTGTCTCTCTACATAGGTAAAATAAGGGAGTAAATATGTGAAAGTGTGTTATGTTATTCTTAAATTATACTTGAAACTAAATTTGTGGGAAATTGTTCAAATAGGTGCTTCTATTTCTAATATCCAAGTATGGGCTGGTCTGGTTTGTTTAAATTTGGTTTGGTCTGAGACTGAAGTAAGTCTAAGTATAAACATCTCAAGTAATATGGTGACTATGCATTTATACGAATGACATTTTTTTACACGAATTGCCCGAGTAAATTGGCAAATCAAGGGGGGTGTAAATATGTGAAAGTGTGTTATGGCATTATTAAACAATACTCAAATACAAATTTGTGAGAAAATGTTAGTTGAGTCCATATATGAGCACACGAAATACCCCACGTGAGCATAAGAAATACTCCATATGCAACAATTCTCCTCATCCCCTAATGCAGTTTACACTTTAATTCCTGCATTTTCGTCCATGCCAAGCTTATCCTCCTCTCCACCACAAAGCCCCTCATTCAATCTCTCCTACTGCATAAAACCCTCATCATAAGTACTTCGTATATTACTAACACAGAGCCTATGAACAAACCATTACAAAAAGCCAATATTAAACATAACAGTCTGTGTAAACAACTCTAAGAGTAAGATTCAAAATAAGGATGCAACAAAAGGTATACAATTACTTATGTTTTTTAAGACCACTATATACATCTAATGATTTCTTTCTTGAACATCACACAGAGAGTTTAATTGAAGAATTAGTCGAACAAATGAAAACTAAAGAGCCCGCTCCTGGTAAGCCTTTAATTTTAAAATGGAAAAGGTGCAAATAGGCCCATGTACTAACAAAAAAAGGTCAATAAGCCCTTATTTAGGAGGCTCTGTCCGGCCGTTGCCATTTGGGGTGGTTCCCGTCGAAATTTTTTGATGAAAATTTTTGAGCATCTTATTCAATAAGTCTAGTTTACTCATACCAAATTTCAGCTAAAACTTCAATGGGGAAGACATTCAAATGAATTCTTGAAAATAACTACGCAGTTAGAATCGCAGTTATCTTCAAGAATTCATTTGAATGCTTTCCCGATTGAAGTTTTAGCTGAAATTTGGTATGAGTAAACTAGACCTGATGAGTAAGATGCTCAAAAAATTTCATCAAAAAAATCCACCGGGAACCACCCCAAATGACGACGGCTGGACAGAGCCTCCTAAATAAGGGCTTATTTGACCTTTTTTAGTTAGTACATGGGCCTATTTGCACTTTTTCCCATTTTAAAACTTAACTTGTTTAAAGTTTGACTATATCCCTACACCAATTTATGTCTTCTATTTATTACTTATATATGACTTTGAATTAACATGTGTATGCATCCAATATTTAGAGAATAATGGCACCACTTGTCTCACCTTTTTACACATAGAAAAATTGCCCTATATAGGACTAAACTAATCTTAATTGCACAAATATGACTAAATAGGACTTATTTAGTCCTATTAAATGAATAATAGGACTAAATGAGTCCAATTAAATAGGACTTATTTAGTTCTATTAAATGAATAATTTGATTAGAACTTCCCAAAATAGTAGTAAATGAGTCCTGTTTTAGGAATAAAACATTGATAGTCTTATTTAAGAATTTTATCATTGTTCTAGTCTTGTTTAAGAAATTTTCTCCCAGAAGAATGGTAAGATGTATAATAAATCTTATGTAATAAGATAGGTTTAAAGTAAGTAAAAAACACATGGACATTTTATAAACAAAGCATGTAATTAATCAATACAATTAAGAAGATAAACAACTGTAAGATGTGTGTGTGTATAACAATAAAATGTTAGAATATAACCATATAATTTAGGATAAGGAATGAACACAAACTTTAAGAGTTTTGGCAACCAAGCATTCCAGCCCACCTGGTTGCGAGGTTACCGTGCCTAGTGAGAGGTCTTGAGTTCGAAACCCGCTAGGCACATAGGGGTTGAAAGTCAATGGAGTGAGTTTCAGCTCCTATTACTCCAGGCTCCCCCAGACCCCCTGGAGTAATAAAAAAACTTAAGGGTTTTGGCAAGATTTTTATCGGAATCTGTGAGTGGATCTCTGATTCTTGCCAAATTTAGCATAAGTAGGGTCAAAACAAACACATATCTAATCAACGTGCATGAAAAACACAACAGAAGTAACAAAATTAAAAATACACATTTACCTCCATTTCGATGTTCTTGTCTGTCTGGACATGATTGTGAGCTGTTGTTTTTGGCATAGCAAATTGAATATTAGAGATTTCAAAGACTTCACTTTTGTGAAAGAAGATGGTTTAGAGTTTTTGGTAGTCTCAACCATGAAGTTTCTGACCGCTAAAGCACCTCCTTTCTTGAACAGACCCTGAAATTTAGAGTAATTAGGGTTAAAACAAACACATATAGCATTATTATATGTAATAAACATGAATAAAGGATATAAAAATTATAAAAACTATAGAACTGATACCACTAAATGTCATGTTAAAATTAATCGTAATAGAACTTATGACATGTAGAACCTCTCCATCAATATTATTTCAGTGATTCCTAATAGTTTTGTTGTGATTCATTTCTCGGATTACAGACCACATCCAAACCATGAGGGTAGAATAGCTTCATACTTGGAGTGGTGTTCAGCAATCAAGTGCAAGTGAACTATCCCGACCTGTATTTATAGTTAGATTTTCTTTCACAGGACATCGGGAAGTATAGATGCAACTTGCAATCATGGGTGGAGAGAGAATGTAAATATTGAGCCTTACCAAGAGCCGAATTTGTATTGCCATTCGGGAGTTTGGAAATCGGGTTGCATAGAAAGGGTCAAATAAGTTAGGTTCTGTCTCACCGTCATCATTTGGGGCGGTTCCCGGTAGAATTTCTTGACGAATTTTTTTGAGCATCTTATTCTTTACGTCTAGTTCACTCATACCAAATTTTAGCTAAAAATTCAATCGGGAAGGCATTCAAATGAATTCTTGAAGATAACTGCGCAGTTTAAAGCGTAGTTATCTTCAAGAATTCATTTGAATGCCTTCCCGTTTGAAGTTTTAGCTGAAATTTGGTATGAGTAAACTATAATTAATGAATAAGATGCTAAAAAGATTTCATCAAAAAATTCCACCGGGAACCACCTCAAATGGCGACGTCCGGACATTAAGAACTTATTTGATCCTTTTTATGCAATTTCGAGTATCAATCTGACCCTTACCTCGTTTGGAAACCATCTATGAGCTTCACTATTCCACCACCCAATTCAACCAATAGAATTTAAGCATTTAAAACATTGAGCTTTTCCCTTACATTTACGTAAATACTTCACTATTTCATCACCCAATTCAACCAACAAGATATTAGTAATGACTATTCACACCACCCACTTCCACCAATAGAAAATAAGTAGTTTATTTAACTAAAATCCAGCATTCAATCAATTAAATATGTGACTGTTCCACCTCTTTTTTGACCAATCATAGCATTTATAGTTTTCCTTTCAGCATATCCGAACTCATTCTACTCCTGTGAGCAGTGTTCATTGTTCAAATCTCTATTTATCTCCTGCGGATCCTTCCCACCGTTCAACTGACCAATACAACAAACTCACCATCTTTATTTTCACCAATAGAAACTCACCATGTGAACAAACTATAACATCGGAACTTCATCTTTCCATTTCTCCATTGAACTAAATTATTTGTACAAAATACATTTTGCAATTATTTTTTATTAAAAATTGGACTAAATCTTGACGTTGACATTTCTAGGCGGGAATCATATTCATCAAATTTCTTTTGCTTTTATATTAGAATAGATTCCCAAAATACTGCTGGAATTAACCACGATTAACAAAAGCCGCCACTTGAAGTGGCGGCTCTTCTATTGCTTCACAAAAGTCGCCACTCGTAGTGGCGGCTCTCCTCTTGTAGCATCATTTCAAGTGACGGCTCATTAATTCACCAAATACCTCTGCTTTTTTCCAACGGACGA